AGGCTGTAGGCTTTTCCTGTGCTAGAAAGACGCTATTCATCTTCTTTAAATCAGTACATGGGCTGCTTGTAAAGTGGGGTAGTGGCTTTCAGACAGGCTGCCTGACACTGCCCTCGGTGCGTTAGGCTGGGTGCTCCCTTTACTGTGTCTAGCTAAACACTTTGGTGATGACTGCTATGAAGCAACTGGGATCAGACTGCGGTATATTCCCCTATTGCATGATATTATTTCTTTCCTTCAAAAATTGCTGATAAGGAGATCCAGGTCAGGGTTGTTATTAACTACTTGTCTCACTTAGAGGCAAGTTTATGCTTTCGGTTCTTTGCAAACAACCTGAAATAATCTTTGGTCTAGAAGGCATTTAGATACTGTGATGAGAGTCGTGCCAGCATAAAAAGATTAGCATTGCCTACAAACTGAGTGCTTCTTGGCCAGATTCTGAGGTGGGTGTAAATTTGGACTAGCTTCCATTGACTTCCAAGGAGTGCTGCTGGATTTACACTGTTGTGCCCACAGCCAGAATCTATCCCATCCGTCTTTCCTTTGTACCAGTGGCACAAATAGAAATGCAAAATTTGATCTAGTTTGAGCATCCCATGCCAGTGGATTTACAAATCAAAAGGCTGGCAGAGTCTCCCAAGGATATATCCTACACTCTGAGCTCACTGGAGTACATTGGATTCTCTGGCATTAGTACCACAGCAGGAGCTAAATATGGATACTTGAGTGTTTGGAAAGACAATATGTTGCTGTTTTTTCTTGCAGTGGAAGAAACAAAGAAGGCAGAGAATTTGAATTAAAGGGAATACAAGGAATATCAAAGAAGGGTTAACTGGAGTGGCACACGCTGTTGCTATGCTGTGTTTGTCGTCTCCACCTTATGCAGTGCTTAGGCACAGACCTGTCTTGCGGCATTACAGAAGTTCTCAAACTACCCAAGAAGTTATGTTAATAGTTAGCAGTTATCTCGGAGAAGGATAAAGACATAGTACATACCCACTCTATACCCTTGGCAGGTGAATAGGTCCTTGTCTAAAAGAAATTGAATGCGCTTGCTAAGAATTGGGCCCTGTTCAAAAATGTAACTGTACCCAAACTGATGGAAAGCATACGCCATGTATACCTATGTTGTGTATGTCCTTTAAATACTAGAGTGTGGTCTACTTTGTGTATTTGTTCAGTAGACTCTGAAATGGGGTCATGCAGGAAGCACAATAAAAGGAAGTGTATTTTTTGGTGAAGGTGTTTCCGACTATGTTGAAACAGAAGCCATCAGTCAGTGGGTTCAGCTCCCAGAGGAGGGAGCTAGTGCATTGAGAGTCACAACTGGCATAGGAGATGTTAGTGAGGTAAGCTGCCGTGTTATCAACAACCCCATATTTAAAACCAAAAACAGTAGCTGGGAAAATCCAGAGATCTTAGCCTTTAATGGTTTGGATTATTCTTCTGTGCCTTTTTGTCTCTGAGCTGCTTATTTTCAACTTTTTTTCCTGCGCGTGTGAGAGCTAGACACTCACTGTCCTGTCCAACTAAAACCTGAGACTAAGTTTGTTTGCTTGAGGCCAGGTACCGTAAGACTTGTATTGGTGCTCATGAGGGCTCATGCTACTGAAACTACAGGTTTTTCTAGTCCAGGAGTCTGTGATTTGCCCCTTTTTCAGGGGATGGTCTGGCTGAGGAATGTTTTGCCCTATTTGTAGTTGCTGCAAAACATTCTTAGGAAACTGCCTTTGACAGATAATATATGCGCAAGCTCAAGGATGGTATCTAGAGCACACACATGAGTTGAATGGTGCTGCCCCTGTCTTGTTACATACAAAATATCTTGAAATATTGTGGTTCTGTGCTGGGAGTCCAGCTGGCTCTCTTGTTTGCAGGGCTGATGTTGTTGTAAAGAGGAGAACAAAGTGGAAATTGCTTGTTTGCGTCCTATCAAACTTTTCAGGATTTTAGCAATTTCTGATCTGTCCTGAGATGAAACCAAGAACTGTTCATGTTACTGTTAAAAAAAATATAAATTAACAAGAGAAATTTGTCTAGACCAGTTGACTCCAAGGCTCAAACCAGGGTCTCTCATACTGTAATAAAAGGATGCCCAAAGAAATAGCCATTTGCCATTTTCTCTTTTTGGTTGTGCAGATGATGCAGTCTCTGTGCAGGGCTGGTAGCACGGCGTAGGTCTTTTCTTGCTGGATGTTTCCGCCTCTGCTCAGCCATCCTTGGCCAGCTGGTCGATCTGGATTCCAGGCTGGCTGGCATTGCTGGAGACCTTGCAGGGCCCTGACAGTGTTTGGCTCACTACCTTACAGTAAGGTGAAGAATCAGATTGAAGCTGGACAATTTCAAATGAGAGAACTCAGGAGGAAAGCTTCCCTTTCATTCTTCCCTTCCACACCACTGCAGTGGGACACAGTCCAAAGAAAAGTCACAGACATAAGATATCCCTGTCCTTTGTTGATAAAAGCCCATGAGATGATTAGCATTGAAAAGGATTTTGAATTGGCTTGCGTTTTACAGTCCAGGTTCTTTTGATCTTTCTGTTGACTTGTTCAGGGCAATGGAAAACCTCTGAGGTTTCTTAACTGCTGCCATGGGAGGATGAATGCCCTGGAGAGGTAACGGGACACGGTTGGAACTGTGAGGACAGTGTGAGGAGGGACAGCGGGGCTAGACTGCAACTGGGGAAACTGTCTCAGTACATCATAGCCTCCCTTCCTCTATGGCACCCCATGAGCAGATCCAACCGGCATGGGGACCAGCTGCGGTGGATCATGGGGTAACCAAGTTTCTTCAGAGCTGAGCTTTAGGGCTGTAACTCCATTATGGGGATGTGAAGTGGGAGAGAGTCTCTTCCTGGCTCAGTGTCCCTGTGTGGGTTTGCAGCGCTGCAGGGAATGTTTCTATTCTTCCTAGGCCAGTTTTCATCTGGAAGGACAGAGGCGCTTCCTAGGCTTAATCCAGCTGTCTTCATTCAGGCAGCTCCTCGCCTGCACAGCGCTAACCTGTCACATTCACCTGCTCCTCCAGCTGACAGTCCTGTGAGGCGATGCACAGGGATCATCTGTTTATTTTGTATTGCTGCAATCTCTAACACAATGGAGTCCTGGCTACTGTGGTATAAATCATTATGAATCTGCCCTCAGGCTCTTGGTGAGTCACTAATGAGACTCAAATGGAGGCAATTAAGTCAGGTTTTTTTATTAGTATAGTTGTGTGATTCTTTATTAATTGCTCAAAGCCTTTCAGTGTAACTATATGAGAGGCAGAGTCCCAAAAAATCATACCTCACATGCTGAAACTTCTGTTATGATGGCTTGAGACCTGCAAAATTCATCATGAACACAAAGATTGGAGCTTATGTTGATGTAACAAAGTCATATTTCCCAAAGGCGACCAGCACAGAAAATACACACAGTTGAGTTTTTCTGTTGCTTTTTATTTATGTCTTTTTATGTGCAAAATAGGCAAGGTCTTAAATATGAATGTCTGCACGCCTCTGTGTTTTAAATGATTGGGTTTTTTTACATTGTGACTATGAAGTCTGTTTTTTCGCCTCTTTCTTTTGAAGGTGTCAAAGATGTATTTGGATCTTTATTGTTAATTAAAGAGAGACGAGAGAGGGGGATTTGAATCTTTAAAAGAGATGTCCGCCCCTAGCTTTTCTCAGGTATTTAAGTTCCATGTTAACAAATTCAAACAAAATTGTAGTGTGTCAAATAAGGTGACTATTCTCATGTTGTCTGTTATTTACTCGACAGTAACTTACTGCTAACATTTTGAAACGTGCCTGTTCCCAGGTTACCACTGCCAGGAAACGTGCCTTTTTATATTGATAATAATGTTTTGCCTGCTATCTGCACCTCTAAGGGGTGTCTTGCACCACGTGCTCAGGGCTGGCTCGGCCCGACTTTCATTCATCCTGACTCAGAAGGAAGCTGTGAGGTCTTCCCAGCAGACAGCCACACCACTGGCTTCCCACAGCTTCCCATGGCACCACCAGAGCAAAACACCGAGCAGTTACACCCTGTATATATTTCCCAACAGGCTGACAGCTGAATGTGTCGACATTTACTGAGTCTGTCCAACCTCCTGGATTTTCAGGTTTATAGAATCCCAATGGATGTGAAGAAGGTGGGCAGGGATCTGTTGTTCCTTTTGTCCTCTAGTGCCAGAATTTGGGACTGTCATATGATTCTAGCCAGTGACAAGTTAGAATTAATGACCAAGTCGATCCTTTACATGACGTGTAGCTAAACTATGGAAAATTTTGCCACAGGATGGCACCTGGGTTGGAGGGGGGAGATTGGATGAGTACCTGAGAGAGAAATCCTTTGGACACTGGTAAGTGTGCACAAACAACCCCCCACCCCAGCTCAGTACCCTGAGGCAGACACTTGTAGGCTGGAAAATACAGAGGAGAATTACCCTGTCTACTTGTCATATTTGTAGATACTTATTTTATACATCTGAATTTGTCTACTGGTGGAGATAAGGATAGGTGAGATGGACCTTTGGTCTGACTCATTGCAGCTGCTCTTTTTTTCTTGTATTCTGCACTTAGATGTTGGGCTAGTTGGTTTTACTTCACGGTGAGCTTCTGTGATTTCATCCTGATGTGAGCCTCTCTGGCTACAGTGGGACTTTGCCAACATCCTTGAATGCACAGGGGGTGAATGAATTATGTTCCAAGGCACTATATGGTAGATAAATTAGAAAAGACGTGTTAATCAACAAAGTTTCTTAAGGTTTCAGATCATTTCTAAGATTCAACAGCTTTGTACAGTTCAACTTCAGAGGAGCAATGATAATCAAGATATTGGCCCAGCAGTTCAGGCTTATGGGATATCTTAATACAAAATCCTTTTTCCAGCTGTGCTGGGACTATGCTTGGTAACAGGAAGATTTAGGAACTGCCTGTGGAGAAGAGATACAAAAATCTCCTTCCCTCCCACCACCAGTCTTAGATGCTTAGTTAGAAGTTTAGTAAAAAAAGACAGACACAACTTTTTGTTGTTAGATCGTTTCCAGATCTTTGTGTTTGTTCTTATGAGTCTGGATAGCAATAGGCGTTCCTGTATCTAGTGTCAGTACAAAGGATGGAAAGCACACTGTATTTCATTTGGCTTGTGAACCCTAATTATTTTTCATGTTGTTCTTGGCTAATGCTAAAGGCACATTTTAATTTGTGGCTTTCCAAAATCTTCTGCCGCCCTCAGGAAGAAAGTTCCTTCTCTGTGCATGAGATCAGAAAGAATATTGCAAGCTAAAAATTCCTTTCTTCACTCCCAAAATGCAACCAGCCCAGGGCAGCATCTTCCCCCATGTGCATAGCAGACACCTGTAGAGCAGGTGGTGAGATGGGAACCCACTCCCCTTTGAAGCAACAGCATTGGACTAGCCAGCATCACAAACTAAGGTCGTCGCCTTTGTTTTTTTCCAGCACTGGGATGTGTTTCGGACAATTACGGAAGTTTTTATCCTGGTTCCTGCCTTGGTTGGCCTGAAGGGTAATCTTGAGATGACGCTGGCATCCAGGCTCTCTACTGCTGTGAGTGTTAACAAGGTGGGGGGGGGGTGTGTGTGGGGAGGGGAGGGAATAGCAGGAGATGTCAGGAGATCGTGCTTTTATAGAACAACACTGTGTGTATGAGACATGCCCTTTTCTGCTAAGTAGAAACTAGTGGTGTGTGACTGTTAAAATAATGTGTTTGCCCTCATTTTGTAACCGGACCAGAGAATTTTCATCTGCACTTTGAAGGTGAATTAATCCCTGGGTGGCCAGTTGCTGTTATTTGTGGCCCTGCGACACATGAAGGAGACAAAGCCAGGGCTCCACAGCTGTCAGCTTCAGTATTGGATTGCATTTCTGATCCTTGAGAGACCCAGGGCTTCCCAGAAATCCTACCTTGGGGGGAGCAGGCCGAGGCTTCTTGGGACCTGCAGTAGCTTTTGCTACTCTGGATTTGATCTCCCTAAGCAGTTCTGTTTACTTTGGTCTGTTTGTATTGCATGTCTTGGGAGAAACTGGTGCTTAACACAGCAGTTTAGAGTGAATTAAAGAGGAAAAAGGGTTTAATTTGTTCAGCTTTTGGTCTGTGTGGGATATGGTGGATGTGCCCTCTCTACCATTAGCTGGGTGCTCTGCAATGCCTCTGTACCTCCGTGTGAGCTTCTGATACCCCTGGGACACTGGGCTGGAGCATGATGGAGATGTGTCAAGAAGGAAGCGCAGGGAAGGCTAGGAGATGCCAACCCATGCTCGCCTCTCTCTAGCTTTAGCAGCCCCTTTCCCACAGGCACCAGGTGAAACTGCCTTCAGCAGCCACTTATGCCACAGGAACAGGTTTTCATGGTGTCTCTCTTGGCTTCTAGGCTAACACTGGACAGATGGATGATGCCCAGAAGCAATGGAAAATGGCCACCTGCAATTTAGCCCTTATCCAGGTGAGTCACTTCAGCTGGGAGAGGAAAAAGGCCCTTTTCTCTCGCTATGCTGCAGCCCAACAGCATCTGTTCCCAGCAGTGCTGAATCCTGAGTTGTTGATTTGGGGCAGGTATTCTCAACAGAGCCAAGCACAGCCAAGGTCTTGACCTCCAATAAAGCTCTGTGTGGCCCCAGCTTCAAAACAGATCTAGACATTCATTGCCTTTGTGGACAAACTGAAATAATGAAAAAAACTCCTTTTGCAGGGGGATCTGCAGCACAATCCCTGTTTCACAACAGCCCCTAGATAAAGCCTGTCATTTACTGGCAGTGTTTGGGAGTCAGCCTTGGGCAGAAGGGGAGAGATGGGAGAAATGTGGCTCTTGTAGCTTTTTCTGGTTGTTAAAATCCAGCAACCAGCCTAGAGGTTGCACATGGCAAGGCCACAGGGCTTGCAACATGTGTCTGTGTGCTTTTCCTTATCTCCTTCCACAGCTTTTCAGCTTGCTAGGAGAGCTGTGATGATGGGGAGCCCATTTTTGTGTTGACCAGGGCTATTCCTTTGCTGATGGACTCGGTGTCCTTTGCTGAAATGTTATCTGCCCTTTGCAGGCCTCCAGAGTTTTTCTCCAAACTTTGTCAGGATGTTTTTTTAATGTAGTGGAGCTTTACAGGGATGCTGCTTAAATACAGAAGCAATCAGCATCTCTGCAAGGCTTAGCTGTGTGGAAATGCTGTGGTTGCATGGAGCCAAGACTGCCTGGGAGCAGATGTGGATGATTGCTCACCAGCTGTCTTTTGGCCCCCAGGTCCAGGCCACCGTGGTGGGACTTCTGGCTGCTGTGGCTGCTGTGATCCTGGGAGCCATCTCCAAGGGCTCTGTGGAGCTGAGCCAGGCTGCCGTGCTGTGTGCCAGCAGTGTGACCACGGCCTTCATAGCTGCACTTTCTCTTGGTGAGTCGTTTTGGTTCCTCAGATCAAATATGCAGCACTCAGGCACGGAAAAAACTGTCCCTTCTGCCAGGGAGGCCGAGCTGACATCCCTTTGGTCTGGTGCCAGGAGGAGGGATGCAAGGAGCGTTAGTCCTGTGTCTGCTGCTGTCACCCCCTCTGCATCCTGCCTTTGCTTCTCTTCTCCCGGGATCTGTTGTTTGCTCAGCTCTTGGCATCCACAGCAGCAATCAAAATGTCCCACTTAACCTGACATGCAAAAAATGCCACATGCTACATGTGGGTGTACATACACATGCGCACACTTCATCCATGTGTCTTGGGTGCCACGTTAGCCATCTAGACTGGCCCTTTCCTAGGGGGACTGAACAAAGCCTTGCACAAAGCAGCGTACTGGGAGTCTGTTAGCAGGCAATGCCAGACTGCGCTTGAGATGGACTTGAGTCACCCAGTCCCCTCGGAGGATTGTGGCCAGCCCTGTGGCTTGCCTGCTGTGAGCTCTAAGCCAGGCCGTCTGCTCCCCCGGCTATTCACCTTGCAAGGGAAACGCGATGGGGTGGACGGATAGGAGCTGCTCTGTGTTGCCTGGATCAGTTTGTAGGTCTGCCATACGAGGGCAGCATGATACCCTGAATAGAGGGAGCTGGCAGAGCTGGATACAGCAAGTTTTCTAAATGAAAGGGACAAGTTAGAGCAAGTGCATATCCTGAAGCTGGAGTCAAAGGGTGATTGTAGATGCCTTTGATGAAAAACATGGGATGAGGCAGTTGTTAAAAGAGAAAAACAGCAGCCCAGCTTTCATTAAACTCTTCCCTTCAATCTCCCAGCTTGGTGTGATACAGAGAGGCTTTGCTGCTCTACCATCACAGGCTTTGAGCTAGCATTAGTTTCTTCCCTGGACGTGGTCACAGGCAGCCTGTGTGTGGGTGTGCATGACGAGAAGCTGCTATTTTTATGACCAGGGAGGGAAGCAGCATGAAATGTGCTGTGGGGAGGGGAGTGTGGGTGCCTGGGAGGACTTTTGTGGACAATACCATGTTGTGTGAGGATGTGTTTCTGTATAAGGGATGTTGTATTGGGGAAGGTGGACATGTGGCATTTCTTAGGCAAGAGACGATGATCCTGTATGCACTCAACTTTGGTGGGCCTGGGCAAACAAGCACGGAGAGGTTGTAAGCTGGAGAGAACCACCGTTTCTGAGACTTCCTTTGGTGCATCCTGTCAGCCACGGAAGGACTTTGAAGAGGGGAAATGTGTCTTGTCTCAAGGCTGCCCTTGCTAGTCACACAGCAGTGGCGGCTGGCCAGGCAGGGTTTATTCCAGGTGGCTCTTCCACAGACCTGTAAGAGATCTGATGGCTGAGGAATTCCCACATGTTAGTCAGGGTTTGTGGTTTGTGCTCATTAACTTACCTGGGCAAGCAAAACTTCCCTTCTCTGCAACAATGCTGAAAAGCAGCTGAATTTTCCAGGTGCAGCTCAGAGGACAGGGGAAGAGAAGAGATGTGGGCCACTTCTATAACCTCTGGAGTTGCTCACAGCATCAACATCTACCCAGAGCAAATTAAAGCAGCCCCAAAGACTCTAGGACATGAGGGTTTAGTCTGGTGACTGGGCTGAAGAGCTAATTCAGGCTTCTGTAAGGAAGCTCTATTCTCTTTGGTGGTTCAAACTCAGAGAAATTTTGGTCTAATATGGAAAATATATTTGTGCTGTGGAATCCAGAGCAGGGGATGGCACCAGGAGGCTGCCGCATGCCTGCTGTGTGCTTATCTATGAGTGTGCTTCTGTGCCTGATCCTGCTTCAAGGCAGCAAAGATTAGGCTGCTCAGGAGGGGAGCTTCTACATTTGGGCTGCCTGCTGTTATCTCCTTTGATCCCTGGAATTTGCTTGTGTGCCTCTGGGCCTTTGGGCAGAGTCATGTCCTTCAGGTTGGTGAAAGCAAGAGGACAAATTCCTGGGGATGTCCAATCTCCAGCTGTGTGGTACCGCTATGGGCAATCTGCTTCTTGTTTTTCTCAGACCCCGCATCCCTCCGGGAACCAGCAGAGCAGCTCTGGGGTGAAGCGCAGCAGAATGCATTCTCTGATGCCTGCTCTGTGTCTTCTCTAGGTCTGGTGATGATTGGCGTGATCATCGGAGCAAGGAAAGTTGGGATCAATCCAGACAATGTCGCCACACCCATAGCAGCAAGCCTTGGAGACTTGATAACCCTCTCCCTGCTGGCAGGAATCAGCAGTACACTCTTCAAATACATAGGTACGGTGTTTAGCAGGGATTTGCAGCTCAGCAAGGGAGGGAGGAATCCTTGTGGAATTATTGCAGGGCACTTACCCATTTCTGGGATGTTTCAGAATGGAGGCTGTCATGCCACTGGGGTGGAAAAATGACCAAAGAGGCTTTCTCCAGCCTCTATTTTAGTAGCAAACTGGAAGGCAGAGCCTAAGAAACAAACCAGGATTTGTCAAAGAAATGACCAACGTGTATTGCATAGCCTTGGAACAGAAGGTTGACATATGTGACACTGACTCTGTTCCTGCATCTGTCGCTAGCCAAGCATAACTCCTTTCTGTGCATGGGTACAGGTCCTTCCTCACAAAGCTATTTCAGGGTTTTGGCATTTGTAAAATATTCTTGTATCTTCTCATGCGGAGAGTCATGGATGAACAGGATGTTATCATCTTGGAGGGAGGGAGGCAGTGCTGCATTGTTTTATGCTCACAGGACTCTGAGTAGGAGTTGTGGCTGTGGGGTTAGCTGTGCTGCTGGTTGGCAAAAAGACGGGCACCTGTTGACACTGAAGAGCTCAAAACATGTTGCAACGTGGCTATATATGCCTGACTGTTGCTAGTAAAGTGCTAGGCTATTTACTGTGAGCCTAACGTAGAACAGAAACAGGAAAATAAAAAGATCCAGCAAACTCAATACCATTTGAAACCCAAACTGTTGCTTCAGACTGTGAGCAAAAGCAGCAAGGCAGCTGTTCTCAGTTTGCGTAACTCATTCCATATGCCCACAACTGAGGGAGTGAAGGAGCACACGTTGCAGGGAGAGGCCCTTGAATCGCTTTCGCGAGTCCTCCTTGAGCTTTGGAGGTGCATTTCTAATAGGCTTTTTCCATGACGCCATCACACCTGCCTCTGTAAAGCTAGTTTGTCTTTCAATCGCTACGCCTCTGATAATATCTCCCAGGGAGCACATGGCAGAACAACAAGATAACCTCTATGATTGCGACCAGAGAGTGTTTGTGATGTTTTCAGAGTAGTTTAAGTAGCCTCTTGAGATGGAAAATACTCAGCACACAGACACCTAACCATTGGGAGCACAAAGTGAAGCAGGGAGGAAGAAGGCGCTGTTGGTGGTGATTGAATAAATCCATTTCCCTCCCCAGTGTGTAGTGAGGAACAGGTAATGCTGTGACAACTTCTGGGTCCTACCAAAATGTATCCTTCAAAAATACCAGTGAGACTGTAAAGTTTGGAGTACTATGCGCTGTTTGATGCAGCACTGTCTCCTTCTGCAGAATACCCTTTCACCAATGAAGATTTTCAAATTTTTAAAAGTCAACGCTGGTCCTTCCCAGTCCTGCAGAGTGGAGATACCAACTGTGCCAAAGGGTTGCAGCTTGCTTCTGGGCTGTATGTGAGAGAATGTGGCAGAACTGGAATGTGGAGACTGTTGTCCATTCATCCTCTGAGGAGTCTTTCTGTGGGCTTTGATAAGGTTTGATAGACTCCAGTGCTCTGTGTATGCATTATTTAAGAAGGAATTAATTGCCCGAACCAACAAGGGGTTGGAGGTAGGAGATCCAGTAGAGCAGCTAAGACTGTCATACAACCCATCTGTCCTACGTGACTCCAGGTGGTAAAGTGAACTGACAAAACAGCAGCTATTTACACACCAGAAGTTGTTGCATTTCAGTGCCGACTAAACCCCCACATAAAGAGTGCACCTCTGTGTAAGAGCTCTTGATTCGTGGAAGATATCATCACATCAGTGCTATCTCATCCAGGTAGCCTGAGGCCCTGGCAGTGTCATTTTGAAAAATGCACACTTTGAGCCTGCTTCGTCTCCCAGATTACCTGCAAAATATGCATTACAGCCCGCTGGCTTTGGCCCCAACACAGAGACCAGATGGAGAGCTTTGTTGAAGAAGCATTTTTATATCAAAAGGGTTGGCATCATCCCCATTGCTTGAAGGTGTTTCTCATGCATCTGAGTCATGTTTATTTTCTTTTAGTGCTGCACATCTACATATTTTTTAATTCCTTTGCTTCTAAAGGTCACTTCAAGGTTATGCCCAAATGGAAAAAGCACCTAATGGAAACACATGTAAGCTTGCACGAAAGAAACCCTGGATCTTAACTGGCTTAGATGTGCAAGAGAGCATTTGTTCCTATAGAGCAGACCAGCTGCTCAGCAATTCTGCTAGCTTGTCGCCAAAAGTACCTATTACCTCTTGTTTTTGGTGAAGGCGTGAAGTCTCTGTCCGAAGTGCAATACAGCCTGCACACAGGAGTTTTCCCCTTGCTCTGCTGTTTGATTTGTACCCTGAAGCCAGAAATTTTGTAACTTTTTGTCTTGCTTAGTTGGAGATGGAACTGGAGACTTGCTCATCTTCAAATATAACTTGCTTTGAATCCTGCTGATTTTCAAATAACATCCTCTAGCAGTGAGTTTCAGGGGTTAATTATGGATTTCTGTGGTAGAGTGAGGTAGTTGTGTGGGGAACATTGTGGTTCCTGTGATTTTTCTGCTAACGTAACTCAGTCTGAGTGAGAGGTCTGCTGTCTTTCTTCCAGACTTTGTGCAATATCACTTTGGAAACCTGCGAAGCCAGGGGCATTTAATTCAAGATTTCTTTTCCTCCCTAGATATGAAATACCTTTCTCCTCTGATCTGTGCTGTCTTCATTGTCATGATCCCTCTCTGGGTTGCTATTGCCAAGCAAAGTCCTTCCCTTGCCGAAGTCCTGAAATCTGGATGGCAGCCGGTCATTGTTGCAATGAGCATCAGCAGGTAAACTGAGGAACTGCTCCCGAGCCCACACACATATGTGCGCTGCAGAGAGACCCCATGCTCATTTAGAAAGCCATCAAAAATGAAACTGGAAGGGACAGGAGAAGGGCATTTTTCCACTGCTTCTCAGCTATTGGTGGTCCTTCAACAGGATGTGAAATAGCAGAGAAGGGGCCCCAAAATGGCTTGAAAAAGCAAGTCATCATTTTAAGTCTCACTTGTGCAACCATGCACCACGTGGGTGCAAGCCAGGAAACTGAAAAGGGAGATGATGACCATCACAAATAGTCAGACTTAACCTCATTTTTATCCAGCTGAAAAGACAGAAGGCTGGTGAATGTAGAGCCAGATAGTTCGTTCCACCTGTGCTACATCTTTGAGACCCAGCTGAGATCTGGGACAGAATTTAAAGAAACTGCTTAAGACAAGTATAGAAGCGTAGCAAAACTTTTGGAGAGGGTGATAAAGCTTTTCCTGGCCACTGTCAGTTTTGCTCAACAGTGGCCAAGGAAGTCTTCCTGATCTTATTATGCCATTAACAAAAACTGTCAGGCTATCTATTGGTGAAAACTGAGCTGTAAAAGGAGTAAACGGGGAAAAGTCCAGCCCTGGCAATTGGGAAGCAGCAGTAACTCATCTCAGTGTGCTATTTTCACAGCGTGGGAATTGCCCTGGGAAGAGAGATTGATCCACCCTCATTGCCTGTCCTTTTTTTAACAGCATTGGTGGGCTCATCTTGGACAAAACTGTAACTGACCCAAACTTTGAAGGCATGGCAGTTTTCACACCTGTGATTAATGGTAGGTTGGGCAGGGGAGGTTATATGCATGCTTTCCTTTATAGCTCTGCCTCCTCCCCAAGGGTTATGGTATCCACTGTTGCCCCTACCCAGAGGTCTGTGTTCAAGTCCCTGCTCCCATCATGAGTGGTCCCCATTACATCCCTGCTTACTCATATCTTGAAGCACCTCTGGAGCAAAATAGCAGGCAGGGCTGAAAAATACTGGCAGAGCTGTGGGAAACACTAACAGCATGTGACAGTTGTCTCTGAGAGCTATTTTCACACCTTTACTTTCATAACATCAAACCTACTAAGGATGTCACAATAAATCCATTTTCCCTGTCTCTCTCCACTCAGCAATTTGAGCTGTGCAATCATCCCCTATACAGATTGATGATAAAGATTAGTATATTAAGATTACATATGTGTGTGCATATGTATAAAAAAGATTATATATAGGGATTTTTAATATATATCTTTCTCAACACCTTTTGTGTGTATATTTGTATTTTTTTGAAGCTTCACAGAACTTTTATACACACACATACCAGTACAAACTGCTGGGGATCCACTGGGTTATTTTTCTGCTATTGGGCCTGGCCTGCAAGAACATCACATTCCAGGGGAAGCCCATGTTCCTAGGGCAGGCTTGGCCTCATGCCACCCTCAAAGCATGGTGTCCCCTTGCAGTGTCAGAGGGTGTCACCCAGCTGTCACCTTACTGGATCTGCATAAAGACAGCCACCTTGCTGACAAACTCTTTCCAGTATGGTTAGCCAAAGAGCCTGATTAGGAAAGTACGTCAACAGCAATTTAGTTGAACAATGACTGACCCAGACGTCTCTCTGTGGGGGTGGGTGACCTGTTGGGCACAGCTGGTGGCAGAGTTAGGCAGTGCTCCGTGTCTTTACACAGGTAGCTCTTCATTGCCTGTGCAGGGGAGTCCTGCAAAGTGTAACAGTGCACGATTCAGAAAGCTCCCATCTTGAGCTGTGTTGAGCCAGTCTTAGTATTTTCACTTTGATTCCGCTCTGGCAAATCTCATATTTAATGATGGGGCATTTCCTTCTTCAAGGAAGGGAAAACATGAGAAGCCCGTACGATCTGGCTCACCGTTATCTTTTCTGTGGCATTTCTACCCTGCAGATACTCAGGGTGGTGGAGGTTTGCTCCATAGATCATAGATCTACTTTCTGCTGGAAAACACGGCTGCTTTTTCATGTTTGCTAGAATTAATCAGTCTGGAAGGAATTAATTGCCTTTTAATTACCAAACATATTTGGGTTCTGATTCATTCTCATATGATTCCTTCTCATTTAACAAGTGCATTAGATGCCTTCAGACAGACATATAATCACTCTCTGTGATGTTTGTTGTCTTTTAAACAATAATGGCTCTCCAGACGAGTAAATCTAAGAATTGGCCGTGAGCAGCATCTGCCATTGCCTGCGCTGCTTTCCCCAGGTGTTGCTCACAAACTGCGTCAAACCAGGTGCAATTACATCATCTTCAGAGGCCACGTGGCATTTACAGACGGTGCTGGGAAGCAAGGGAAAATGTTTCCAATAAAGCAGTCAGAAGGAGATGATCACTGGAGCCTTCCTGATTTTTAAGAGCTGCTCCTGCCAAGTGAATAGTGCAGCATCAACATGTGGGACCAGGTTTTCTCTTTCTCTGACTGCTGCTCTCAGTGAAGTTCTAAGTGAATGCAGATCGCCTCACCTTGGGCTAGGTTTTAGACTGATGTTTCCTGCTGTGATGAAGGTGGTTTACAGGTGTTTTGTCCTCGTAGGTGTTGGAGGGAATCTGGTCGCCATCCAAGCCAGCCGTATTTCCACATTCCTGCACTTCTGGAGTATGCCTGGAGTTTTGCCATACAAGATGAGGCAGAATTGGCCCAACCCATGCACCACATTCTTCTCATCAGGTAGACCTTGAACCCTAGGTGTCCGTGTCTCAAGGCCTGTCATCACAGATAGCTCCTTTATCAAGCCTGGTTGGTGAAGGACTAGGTGGGTTTCAAAGGCAGAATCCCCTTTCCCCCTTACAGGGAAGGTACTCAGATTGGAGAGGAAGCATCTTTGCAGTGGGCAGCTTGAAAAAAAGCTTGTGGTATACTTGCTTACTGGCATGCAAAGAAACTGGCCTTCAGGGAGCACTAAAGAAAATAATTGAAAAAGAATCTCAGGTTTGATCTAATAGAATGTTATTTTAACCGTGGCCAGCCTAGAGCCATCACCTGTGGACGGAGGGGTGAATAGAGCATAACCTTGCTGAAAATCTGCAATTCCTCCATCTTCAGCAATGGATAAACCTAAGCGTCAGCAAAACTGGATTCGGGTCTGTTGTCTTTTTAGATTGCAGGTTCCTCTTAATTTTTCCTGCTAGATTGGGATTTACTGCTAAAGCAAACTAAAAACTGGGAAAGTGGGTTGCAGCAAGGCAGAGAAGAAGCAGTGGGAGGCAGACAGCAGCTGAGAGGAGTGTTCAGAAGTGGAGTGGATCAGTGTGGAGCACGTCTTTGGCACATAGTTTCAGTGCTAGACAAAGCTGCTGGGCTGATACTGCAGATGCTCCAGATTGCTGCGTGGTCTAGAAAAGGCGTTAGCAATGTGGTTGGTGGGAGGAGGCAGCCCCAAGTCTATGTACCAGCATTAAAATAAGCAGCTGTGTCTTGTCCTGCCCCCACCATCTGCAGCACTGTCATCGCTGTTTTTGTCTCTGTCCTCTGCAGAGGTGAATTCCAAGTCAGCCCGAGTCCTGTTCCTCCTGGTTATCCCAGGGCACCTTGTGTTCCTGTACACCATCCATCTGCTGCAGGGAGGCCACACGTCTCTCTCCTTCACCTTTGTGATGTTCTATCTGACTGCTGCTTTGCTGCAGGTAAACCCCAACCTCTCATCCAAAAGGAACCTCTCAGACACTGTGAAAACAAAACACTCTCCAGGCTAAACAGGAGTCACAGTAAAACTTCCAGCAGTGGCCCACATTTCCAGTCCTTTCAGGTGTGCTTCCTACCAAGCATCATCTATCTTCTGTGGAATTCCCAGGGTCTGGTTTCCCACATGAGTACAGCTGCCCTTAATGTGAGCGAGGGGTCAGACATGAGATGAGGAAGAAGTTATCATCATCTGCTGCGCTGCAGTAAGTGTGCAGAGACACACTTAGCAAGGAGGTACCTCTTGTTGTAGGTGGTACCTTGTTTTACCATGTTCACTTCTTGAGTCTCTAAGCCTCAAGTATTTCTATTACTGCCACTGGTCATCCCAGTAAGGGGCAAATGAGAGGCTGTGAACCCAGACAGCAGATTTCGCCACTAAGTTTGAAAACCAGTTTCACATATCATGGTGAAGACCTGGGGATACCTCCAGGCAGGACCATATGGGTCAAAAGTGAAGGAAAGACCCAAGCCTGAGAAGTTCATCTTCAAAAGTAAAAGTTCTGAGTAGGCAATGGGCAGTTCCTCCAATGTGTTCTGCCTGTTCCCCTCCGCTGTTTTGCCTGCCCTGTAAACTTTGTCATCTCGCTCAGAACTGCATGCGGCTGTTGCTTAAACTCAGAGAGGCTCTGACTTCACTTGCCCTTTTAAATCAGTGATTCATTAATTTGCAGGGTGAGGTAGCTGACTTCTCGCTTTGCCTTACAAGCAGCCTCGTGTCTGTGGGTTAATTCCTTGTGTGTGTAAACAATCAGTTTTTCCTGACCTTTGCACAACCCTAAGCCCAGCCACAGCCACAGTTGTAAAGGAAAATATTTATTCTTCTCTTTATGCATGGAGCTAACTTCTCAACCAGAGCCAAGCATGAAAATATGCAGAATAAATGACAGCATAAGGACCAGAATCCCAGCAACGCCACTGACCCTGAAAGATTCCCATGGAGGCCAGCGGAGGAGAATACACTCAGCCTGGTTCTTTCTTCCCTTCCATTATACTTTATAAAGAAAGACAGAAAGAAAGTGAGGGGAGGTTTGGGTCAGCTGGAGGAAGCCCAAAGAGAAAGATCAGAGGCCTAGAAAATATGACCTCAGAGGAACAATTGGATGGACAGGGGTTAGCTAGTCCAAAGAAGAGAGGCTTGAGAAAAATCTGGTTAATAGCCTTTAAACTACGAAGTTTCCGTAGGGAGGGACAGAATAACATTTTCTCTGTGGTCACTAGGGATGAAACATGAAATCATGGGTGTCAGATGGAAAACGGCAGATTTATGTTAGACCTTGGGGAGAAACAAGAACAGACAAAAAAAAAAAAAGCTATGGGACCGATTGCTTAGAGTGTGGCATCTCCATCTTTGAGGATTGTTTAGCATAGGTTAAACAAACGACCATCAGGAAAGATATGGGTATATTTGATCCTGTATTGATTGAGGCAGAGGAATGGTCTATGTAAAACTCTTGAGTTTCCATCCAGCTTTAGTTTCTGTGATTATGTTATTTAATTTGCTTCCCCCATCTCTCCTCCTCCCTCTCCCCCCACCTAGCTTGCAGTTTTCACCTTTAGAAATGCCGCCTCTGGCTTTGGTTCCTGTTGTGCTGTGGTCTCCCACGGAGGGACCACAGATGTGGGGTGCAAACTCTCTCTCCCTTCTTAATTCAATTAACTAGACAGTCTTTAATCTTTAACCGAAGTATTTTTTTCCTCCATCTGTTTATCAGAATTGGGAATGAAATAGGAATTAAAAGGAATCACAACAAAGATTTTAAAACTGTTGAGATGAAAAAAAAGAAATTATTCTCTTTTTTTAACATGTCAGTGCTGCTTGGGATAACTTTGATGTAAAAACTGCCTCAAACTCCAGTTGTCCACTGAGACTTTTTAGGAAAAACAAAGTAGACGCGATCTGAATTTCTAATGGCAAAAAGAGGGATGAAGAGAAAAAAATCTGGCTACAAATGTATTCTTTGGGGGATCTCTGCATATTTGCAGCAGCCCTGTTTCTGGTGGAGTGAATGGGAGCACTCCCATTCATGGCATGGGGAGTGGGAACTGTACCTTTGGGAGATGCTTTTGGTGTGGCCAGACTCCCTTTCTGGGGGCACGTGATGCTGGTGAGCAGTTCAAGCGTGGTCCCCACACTTGTGTCTGGCAGCATGGGCCACGGCACCATGGGCGATGCCAAGCAACGCAGTGCCCAGGGCCATGAGCCAACTACACCCATCCCAGTGCAGCTCCATCCCGCAGAGAAACAGCGATTCTCTGGGAAAGCTGTTAGTCCTCCGCGGTCCCTGTTAGCTCGGGTACCTTGGCCGTGGCCACATCGTTGCAGTTGTGAGCTGAGGGAGGCTGCGCATTACCTTCTCGCTGCCTCACAGCAGGGCCTGTTTTGCCTCTCTTCAGGTGGGAATCCTGCTCTACGTGGCTGACCTAATTGTGCGCCTTATGTGGAGGAAGGCGCTGGATCCGGATAATTTCTCCATCCCCTACCTCACTGCCCTGGGGGATCTCCTGGGCACTGGATTCCTGGCCATCTGTTTCCGCCTGGTTTGGCTTGTCCACGGCGCAGACATGAACCTGGGGAACTGAGTGACCATGTGCTGCTCCGCATTACTCGTGCGACACGGTGCTTTCCTCTGGGAAAATGGGGTACTTGGCGATGAGCACTGGGTCACCCAGCTTGATTGGACCTCCCCTGCCATCCCTGACGCCCCGTCTGCCCTCCTCATCGTGCCTTACAGCTGGGCTTGCCCACCCTGAGGTATCAGCACCCACAGACTTGCACCCTCTCAAGTGAGCAAACTGGTTTTAAGCAGCGCCTGCTGCTCATACCTGCACCCGGCAAACGAGGCATTAAGGAACGTTTGGGCCATTTGTAATGAATGAGCATTTTGATCAGTTTCTGTCCCTAGCACACAGCCCATCAGGCCACTCCAAAGTCTGCCGAGGTCACTGCATCCGATCCTGCAAGTGGATGTCACAACTTCTCTGTTGGAAGGGAAATTCTTTATTCACCCCTCTTTTCTCTCCCGTTGCATCACTGGAGGAGGAGAGCAACCAGGTCTTTAAGGCTGCATCCTCTCCATCGCTCAGATGCTCAGGATCTGATGCAGTGAGCTCCCTGCTGGCTTGCGCCCAGCGGGAGGTTATCTAGGGATACCACCTACCTGCCCTGGCAGCATCACTGTTGTCTGACCAACAAGCTGGATTGATTGCATTTTGGGGGTAGGAAGGTTTGTTTTTACGGTTTATGAAACGTCCAGCAGTTAAAATGTTTATAAAACGCACACACAAATAAAGTGGTTAAAAAAAAGGTAATGCTGTGGATTTGGGGGTTGTCTTTTCTTGCCATGGCTCTGCCTGTTTCTAGTTCAAACTTGTCAGGTAGAACTTTCTCATCCATTCAGGGTTGGACAACACAATTTTAATAGGGCTTCAGGAAAATCAGTGTTTCCTAACCAAAAGCAGCCTTTTGCAGCCCACGTGTTCCAGGTTAGAATTAAAGGCCATTACCTCTCCCACAGTCGCCATGCACTCATTAGCAATTGCACTGCGATGAGTCTAGAATCTGTGTGCCATAGGGATGGTGTTGGGCTGGGTTAGGATTTGGCATGAGGATTTGGCAAGTGGCTTCTTAGGTCCTTGCTCCAGGGTGGCTATCTTGTGCTATGAGGAACACATCAGGGAGGCTTGTGGGGCTGAAAGCAGCCAGTTCTCACTGAAATTGAAGAAGCAGCAGGGTCCTCCAGATAATAAGATGCCCAAGAGGCAAGGACAAGGATCAAACCTTTGAAAAATGCCACTAGGTCTCAACTTTAGTAATTATCTGCCTTTGTATGTCTTGGAGCAGGGAAAGGAGGAGGTCAAGTCCCCTAGCCTGCTGGCAGACAGATGCATCATTCAAGGACCTGCCAGCTTTTAAATACTTAAATTTGAGCTGTATTGGGTACCTGCTGGCCTTGGGTGTTTCTTTGCTCCAGGTGCTGCTCCCATCTCCCAGAGCTGCTGCAAAGCTGAGGCCCCTGCACAGGATCGACACATGGTTGAAGGTCCCTAACAGCAAAACCTGTTCAGCTCTGGGCTACCAGGGGTGGGGACAAGCACTCCCCGAAAAAAAATAAGCTGTCACCTCCCCCTTCTCCAAGCCTCCTCTTCCTTTTTTTGTTAGGAAGGATAAATTACCCCACGCTGGCTGAGCTGGAGAGTATGCGCACACCACCTTCATGGTAGGGGAGGTTTCAGCATTCAAGGCACATGCTCCCCCTGTCTTGGGCCTCGCTGCTTTATCTCTCGCTGCAGCCCGTGTGCTGTCAGCTCTGCTCGGCTGCTCTGCCGTCGCCCCAAGCACGCGCGTGTGATAATTGCAGCAGCAGCAGCAGCAGCTGAGGGGGCTGGCGGGGAAAGCAAAGTAAGCTGATTGCCGGTCCCAGTTTGAGGGGGTTGCATTAGGAGATACGTACGTACCTATTTTAATAAATTGAGATTAGCATTTTATTTTGTAAACCCGTATTGGCTCCAGTTTGGCACTGGCTTCTGGCAAATAACTCCTCCTGCCTAAACACCAGCTTCTCTGCCCCCCACCTTACTGCATATTACCGCTGCCTTGGAGAGGTCATCTCCTGGCCTTGGTGCTTTTCCTGCTGGTGTGAATCAGGCAAGGCTGGTCTTAAGGCCAAGCTGCTGAGGACACTCCAGCTCTCTGCAGGGTCCCAGACATGTGAAATCCTCTTTCTCTTAATAGCACAGCTTTGATCCCGTGCTCCCTCCAATCCCCCAAAAGCCCCAGGCTGGAGCCCATGGCTGGTGTTATCAGCAAGAGACCCCAGTCGCTCTCCTGCAGCATCAAGTCCCAGTGCCCAACATGCGGCTGCTCCTCTGCTACATGATTGCACCAAAGCCCTTGCACTGGTGTGTCCCTTCACCAGGGGATCTCTGGGCAGAGCTCGGCTTGTTCTGGTTGTCGCTGTTGACAGAGGACACAGATGGGAACATGTAATGGATGCCATCTGTGTCCTACTTGCAGGACCCAGCTGGGCTGGGGGGACCCATGCTGCCCCTTGCCCGCGCTGGGCTTGGGGGTTCCCCCCTTGCGGGAGGCATTGAGGCTATGAGCCGATGTGGTGAGATTAAAAAAGCACAGCGAGACGTGCTGTTCTCTGGGTACCCCTTGGTGGGCAGCCAAGCATCAGCCTCGTGCCCGTGCACTTAGTGCAGGGAACGCACTTAAGACTGGAAATTGCTTCCAGCCTCAAGAGAAATGATATAACCAAAGGAAATGGTTTCAATAAAAGGGGATTTTATTTTCCTTTTCTTTTTTTTAAGGGCAGCGAAAGGCTAGTTATTTGGCTATTCAGCCTGTTTACTCTTTCTCTTTCCTCCTTTTCTTTCTTTCCTTCTGCAAATGAGAAAGGGCCTTTGCTAACAAAGGTTATATGTAACCCTGGAGCACGGCTTAGATCGGTGTTCCTGTACCTCCAGCTGAACCTGCCCCTCCAAAAAAGCACCCCCAGCCCTTCCAGCGAGCGGGCAGCACTGCTCCCTCCCCCGGGCACTGCCTCGGTGGCACTGGGCACAGCCCTCGTCCCAGCAGGGCGAGAAGCCACTGAGTTGGCCTGACATTGTCCCCCTTCTCTCCCCGTAAAAGCAGAGATCTGGTACTTAAATGCCTGCAGGATCCTCAGCTTTTAAGAGCTTTCAGTACATGACGGCAGGCCCTCCCTGGATTTACGCTCCCCGCGGTGGTGTGTTGGAGTGATTTTGTTGGGGAGGAGATTTGGGGAGGGGGTTGCTTTCCTGCCTTTTCCTTCACAAAATTCACACGGCTTCAGAGCAAACCTGTGTGGGCAGCGGAGCTCAGATGGGGTGTGGACATTTCATAGCAATTTCTGTCTTTAATCTAACCCAGCAGGAAAGTCCCTGCCAGCGGTGGGCCTGGCTTCTCCGCTGCTGTGCCTGTGTCATTACTGTGCCCAGCTTTTCACCGGCTTGTAGCCACCTCGCCACAGTCCCCAGCACCTCTGTTAGAGCTGACAGGGACTTCTATTTGTGTTTATTCTTCACGGCTGCCAAATAAGCAACTTCCTCAGAAAGGAGGAGGTGGGAGAAGAGAGCTCCTCTCTTTCTGCTCTTCGGTCCTTGGCCGCAGACCTGCCAGGTAGGCCTCAGCGCTTGAATTGGACTGAGAAACCCATCAAATGCTACGGGATCCCAGCCGAAGGCTTACCTTGTTTTAACCTCTAGGGGAAAATAAAGCAAATGTGGAGTGTCAGCCGAAGAATGAGACTGGGTGGATTTGAACAAAGCAGAAATAAAATAAAAAAACCAAAAGCCTGCTTTGGGCTGGATCCTCCAAGCCCTGTGCAGCCATGAGCCAGATGATCCGGGCTGTAGTAGGAGGCAGTGAAAAAATGTAATTTTTTTTTTTTTTTTAATATCTCCCTTGGTTTTCCTTCACATTATTAGCAGCGAGGTTGAGACTCGGTCCTGAGATCAGCCACTAGTTGTCCCTGAATAAACTAAAGCTCAGGTTCATGTCAGTGCTGTGGGATGGGGGGCGAGGAAGGGCATGGGAGTTTGGGAGGGGACGGTGCCTGCCCTTCTCCACCCCAGGCTGGCGTGTTGGGGTGCTGGGTGCTGGGGTGGCAGCTGGGACCTCGGGGAGATCCCAGCCATCGGGGAGGAAGGTCGGTCAGGGGCTCCCTCATTCCTGGTTGCAGAAGGGTTTCTCTTTGCAAGCAAAGAAGGGGCTGTCACCAGCCGTAGGGAGAGCTGGGAGCAGGGGGTTGTTTTCAGGAACAGTCAAAGCGTTTATTTTTCCTCCCCTCCCAGCTTCCACTCACTGCCTCCATCCTAATACAGTATTTTTCCAGAATTACTTTGTGCAAGATGCAATATCCTTACCAGGGACAAGTGAAGTGCCAGCCAGCAAACACCAGCAAGTCTGAAAAGCCTCCTTCAAGCGCGACACTGCTTCCAAGGCATACTTGAAAACACTTTTTTTTTTTTTTCCCCCCTTCAATGGAAGTCTATTTAATCCTCCAGCTGGTAAAAAACCCAATCTGTGGTGTACAGCAAGCTCTGGAAGGAAACCTCTGTATCACTGAAGCTCTGTTTTGTTCCACTGGAAGGAGAAACTCAACAGCTTCACGTGGGCCACCAGGGATGGGGCCAGTGGCACGAAATACCCACAGCACAGGCAACGTGCCCGCCACGCTCCGAGGGCTGGAGCAAGCAGAGCTGTTCGCGACACCGGGATGAAGGGGCCAGCTCGCCATTAGCCACGTTGGACTGTGGCAACACTCAACATTGCAGGAAGGAGTATGTGCGTGTTTATATAATAAATATGATGTTGTACACACACACACACAGGTGTAGACATACATAAACCAAATAGCTATTAAGTATTACAATCATATACAAATATAATCACTCAACATATAATATGTAAATGTAATTACAAATACTGTTTAATTTTTCTTGTAATACATACTTTATACACATATACATATAATGCATGTATTATCACCTATAAATATTTGCAATAATTCTATTAGACATTATAATAATTATTTACATTGTATATGTGTGCA